CTGAGCCAACGGGCCAGGGCTATTGTTCCTCTTATTGATGCATTCATTGGTTGATTCTTCTATGTCCTTGACCTGGGATTGATTGATCCCATAACCTTGGCATATGGGGATGATGCTCTAACCAACTGAGCTAGGCTAAGGGCTAAGAAATTATCTCTTTAAAAAAATATATTTTGCTTATTTATTGTTTAGAGAGAGGGGAAGGGAAGGAGAAAGAGTGGGAGAGAAACATCAATGCGTGGTTGCCTCTCACGTGTCCCTCACTGGGGACCCAGCCCACAACCCAGGCATGTGTCCTGACCGGGAATTGAACCAGCGACCCCCTGCTTCACAGGCCCATGCTCAATCCACTGAGCTATACTAGCCCAGGCAAGAAATTATCTCTTTTTTAAAAAAATTTATTTATTTATCTTTAGAGGGGAAGGGAAGGAGAAAGGGAGAGAAACATTAATGTATGGTTGCCCTTTGTGCATCCCCTGCTGGGAACTGGCCTCCAGGGAACCGGCCTGCAACCCAGGCATGTGCCCTGACTGGGAATCGAACCGCGATTGTCTGGTTCGCAGGCCCGAGCTCAATCCACTGAGCTACACCAGTCAGGGCCGAAATGATCTCTTATAATCTGTTATGACCAAGGGCTTTAATTCAAGTTCTTCTAAGTCATTAGGATAGGAGGCAGAAGTCTCTCTTGAGCCTGCAGCTAAAGTTACCATTAGCTTGAAACAGTCCGCATGGCACAGAGCCACATAGTGAGATGACTCATGCTGGCCCCACACACGATGATGCTCTTAGAAGAAAACATAGGAATAAGTCTTCATGACCTTGGATTTGGTAACGGATTATTAGCTATGACACCAAAAGCTCAGGGAACAAAAATAGAGAAGTTGGATTTTATACAGTATATATATACAATGCAGTATTATCATTCAGCCTTAGAAGAATGAAGTACAAATACACGCTACAATGTGAATGAAGCTTGAAAATACTACACTAAATGAGAGAAAATGACCCAGACACAAAAGGTCATCTATTGTATGATGGAATTTATATTGAATACCTATTATATGCGTTAAAAAACAAAATCCAACCAGTGAATTTAAAAATCTAATTGGCTTTAATTAAGTGATTCATGAATCCGGCAGCACTGCATTTACCGGCTATTGAGGGGTTACATGAAATGGAAGATTTGCATAGAAAGAGGCTGGGGTAAGAGAGCTATTAACAAAAGAAAATAAAGGATTATTCTTAGGCCTTGACATCTTTCCCTTGAGGGAAGAATAAAAGGGCTTTCTTTTTTTTTAATTAAAAAAATTGACTTAGAGTGAAATATTGGCTCGTTCCTCCTCTGACGCATTTGTTGGTTGATTCTTGTATGTGGCCTGATCTGGGTTTGAACCCGCAACCTTGGAATATAGGGGTGGTGCTCTAACCAACTGAACTACCCAGCCAGGGCAAAATCATGCACATTGCCTCTTCTATGGGCAATGGAGAGGGTGCATGGGAAAGAGTACCTTACTGGTGCTTTACCAACAAGCAATTGCATACTGGTTGATTAAGATTATTCCGGGGGATGTTGAAACTGCAATTAGATCAGGCATTAAATCCAGGTTCGATATCACGGGCTTTTAGCATGAGTGGCCCCATTTTGGCCCTGTGGATTTTCCTTTACCATAGCTAAATCCATAGAGACAGAGAGCAAACTGGTGGTTACCAGAGGTTTCAGGAAGGGGAAATAATGGGTGTGGGGTTCTCCTTTGGTTGATGAAAATGGTTTGAAACTGAGGCAGGTTAGTGAGAAGCTAGAACATTCCTTGGCAAGTGTATTAGGAAAAATGAGAGAGATAGGAAAAAAAATTAGCCAAGCAACTTATAGCCAGACACAAAGGGTCACAGGCAGACAGCCCCAGGCACCTGACAAAAGACATAACTGGGAAAACAAGGACCTCATCCCTAGGATAACCCTTCCTCCCTAGAGATAGCATCTGGGCCTCAGTTGTATTTCAGCTCCAGGCCCAGAAAAGCAGCAAAAACAGACAAGTGACACCTCACCTGACCTTGGGACCAGCTGCATTGAATAATGACCCCGTGCCCTGGTGCCAACCAATCAATCAGTGGAGACTAGGACACTGAAAGGACATACCTGGAAAGGTGATGCATGTTCTAGTGAGATCCTCACCTGGGATCTCCCCTACAATCTCCACCCCTAAAAACTTTTCTGAGGGAGGATCTGGCATGCTCTTCCAGCTGGGAGCACAAAGCACGGAGCGCAGAGCACGGAGCACAGAGCACGTCCATACCTCTCCTCCCCCCCCCTTCCTTCCCCACAAGGAAAGCATCTCTTAAATTCTAAGGGGCCCCCACAAGAACTGCAGCCAGGGAGCAATGGGCAGTGGCAGCTCTTCCGGGGCTAACCCTCTGACTTTGTCCCCAAGGTTCCCTTTTCTGTGACTTCTCTATGAGCTAAAGCAGCCCTGCCAAGGCTCATTTTTTTCCTATAATGTTTGCAGTGAGCCAAGGCAATCCCGCTTAGCCTCTCCCCTTGCTTCCAGTATCCCTAGCCCTTCCTTGTTTCATTTTCCCCAGCTTCATTTATTTAAAAGATTTTTAAAATTTTATTTTTAGAGAGAGGGGAAGGTTGGGAGAGAGAGGGAAAGAAACACGGATCTGTGAACACATCAATCAGTTGCCTTTTGCACACCTCCAGCCAGGGGCCTGGCCCTGGCTTGTACCCTGGGCTTGTACCCTGGCTAGGGTACAAGCCCAGGCTTGTACTCTGACTAGGAATTGAACCAGGGACCTTTCGGTTTGCAGGACTATGCCCAACCCACTGAGCCACACCAGTTAGGGTACTGTCTCCAGTTTTAATAAACATCCTCTAAAAATCATCTGGACTTGTGTTGTTAAATCTTTCCTACATGAAGTTAAGAACCCACATACTACTGACTGACCCTAGGCAAACCTGCTTAGGTCCATGTCCCCTTCCTGGTAACAGAACTAGATAGAGGCAATAGCTGTGCAAAATTGTGAATGAGCTAAATACCTCTGCACTGTACATCTTAAAAGTTAATTTTATGATATGTGAATTCCACCTTAATTTTTAAAAGGTAAAATGGGAAAGGAACATGATAACTTCCTTAAAAATCTGAAAGGCGAGCCCTGGCCGGGTGGCTCAGCTGATTGGAGTGTCATCCACATGCACCAAAAATGTCAGTTTTGATTCCCGGTCAGGGCACATACCTAGGTTGTGGGTTCCATCTCTGAGAACCAACAAAAGGGCTGTTAGCCCTGGCTGGTATGGCTCAGTGGATTGAGTGCTGGCCTGTGAACTGAAGAGTGGCTGGTCTGATCCCTAGTCAGAGCACATGTCTGGGTTTCTGGCCAGGTCCTCAGCTCCAGGCATGTGAGAGGCAATTCATTGTTTCTTTCACACATTGATGTTTCTCACCCTCTCTTTCATCCTCCCTTCCCCTCTCTAAAAGTAAATTAAATCTTTAAGAAAGTAAAAAAGAGCTTTTAAACAGAACATGCTGCCTCCCAAGGAAAGTAACACTGCTCTTGACTGAAAGTGATCAGGTTGGATGATGAGCTTTCAGGAAAAGTTATTGAGAGGATTCTTACATGAGGAGCCATTGAAGCTTTTTTGGTTTAATTATTTTCTAGATCAATGTTATCTTACCTCCATCCCCACAATCAGGGTGATTTCAGTTTGACAACAAGCAATTTGCAAATACATTCCTACAGCTCAAGTATTCCTTCCCGAAGGTGTGCCACAGAAAGAGGAAATGTTCAATTACAGTAAACTTTCAGGAGCTGAGACATCACCAACCCTTTGGACGCCCAGTTCAGAGTTCCAGCCATTGCAGCTTCCTCCTGGCAGCTGGAGAAACCGTACATTCGCTTAACAAATATTCGCTTACAGTTTCTGTAAGCGAATATTTGTTAAGCACTTACCACTTTGCTAATGCCTCTTATATGTAAATGGTAAGGGTTAAATGCTCAAACAATAATGAGCAACCACGAAGATGATCACATTTGGAAACCATGGAGATTCCCCAAACTTCAGTCTATTACTTGTAACATATCCTACTATTAAAACTTCATGAGAAATGAACAGAGGACAAAGACATCTGGGTGTCTCACCAGCTAAATTCGAAATTATCACTAAGAGGTGCAGCAAAAAAAAAAAAAAAAAGTGACCTAGGTAATTCTTAGGTTAGATGATGAGACTCATTAATTCATTTTTATTGCGTGTCTGAACAGGGAAGTTGGAAATCACCACCTGATCCCGCTCCCCGAGAGCCCCAGGACTGCAGGAGGGGCGAAAAATAGGCGGAAAGGGCTCCCTGCGAGAGACTACCCTTTTCCCTCGGACTCCCAGCCAGTTCAGGAGGATCCCGGGGATGCCGCATTCTTCGGTGGAATCCAGCCCCGCCCGAGAGGCTCCGGGGGAAGCCCAGGCCAGCCGCCCCCAGCCCACCCAGCACTTTAGTCCGAGGCGTCTCTGGAGATTGCGCAAAAGCCTTTCCCTCCCCCGCCTGCTGGGTGGCATGTTCCTAAAATTCCCATGTACACAACATAAACAGGAAACTGCAGCAAAAGCCCTAGCGGTGCAAATTCCACGCTTCCAGTCGAGGGCGGGAGAATCTCGTCTTGTGGGGGAGGGGAAGCAGCAAAATTTCCAAGGGACCCCCTTAACCGACCCTGCCTATTCTCACCAAATCCTGAAAGAGAAGGCGGAAGGAAGAACACCCGGTTTTAGGAAAAATAGAGGAGGGGGAGGTGAAGGTGAGCCAAGGAACAGCAGCCAGTTCTCAAAGTGAACCACGTCGAGCGACTGCGGTGGCCGCACGTGGCTGGAATACTTCGGGCTGCCCACTCCCCAAACCCAACGGTGCAAGCCAACCGCGGCGGCTGGGGGTGGGTTCAGCGACCGGGCTCCGGCCGGGAGCCCGCGGGTGGGGGCGGGGGAGGAGCGGGAGAGGGCGCGGCGCAGGCGCAGAGCGTGCCTCGGTTGTCAAACATGGCTGAAGCGTCGCCGCTACCGCTACTGCTGCTGCAGGGAAAATGCTGAGCCCTCCCGGGCCCGGTGGGCGGCGGCGGCGAGGGCGGCGACGGGCACCCGCTTCTCGGGCGCGGCGGCGGCGGCCATGGCTCGCCTGGCCGACTACTTCATCGTAGTAGGCTACGATCACGAGAAGCCAGGTAAGGGCGTGGGGCGGGCGCCGCCCCCGGGCCTCCCCGCCCCCGTCCCCGGGCTGCTGTCCAGTGGGTTCTGCCGAGTCCGGCGTCGAGCTGGGAGGCGTGGAGAGCCTGGCCCGCCGCGTCGGAGCTGATGGTCGGCGTCCGGCCTTCTTGGCCCCACTGAGCTTCGCGGTGGGCGTGTGGGACCAGCACGAGGGGCGGGGGAGGGGAAGAGGCCGCCTCCTCCCCGGCCCTCGGCGGCTCAGCCGGGCCAGCAGTGAGCGAGTCAGGTTGCTACCACCCTAGCTCTGGAGGGGGCTGAGTACCTAGGGCAGCGCCCTGGTGCGGGCGGGATTGGGCCCGGACCTCAGTGCTGGGAGGGCGGGAGCCAACTGTGCTAAGTTCCTCCGGGATAAACTTCTGCCCTGCATCCTGAGTGAGTAACGAGTGACGCGGGGGGCAGTCCTCTCCAAAAGGAAGTGCTGAGAGTCCGATGTTACCTCACCTCTGTGCTCTTGGGGGTCGGTCTAGTCACTGCCCCAAGGAACGCGTGGTACTACTGGGGAGGGGAAAGGATCCTTGCACTTTTAAACATTTCTAGGAAATGCGCCCTGTTATTTCAGAAGTGTGACGGGCATTTTAGAATGAATCTGAAAACTGTCTTTTTAAAGGACAGTCAGCAGATTGCTGAAGGCGATCTTGTTGCATTTTAATGAGTCTTTTAATTGTTCTTTTCACTCGTCTCAAATTTTTATGCATAAGAAACAATTGGACAATCGCATTGCATTTTAATTAACAAACTCCTACAACTTAAGAGAACTCAGGGTACACGCACGTTTATTTTGTATTCGTATTCTGTTGTGCTACCTTGTAGCTAAGCATCGTGTAATAATTGAGCTGGGGAAGCACATCTATTTCTGGTTACACATTTGCAAAGAATTTTGATTTCAGCTTGACAGGCCCTTTATTTTTCAGAGGAAATGCTGAGATTGTGTTTCGCTGATGGTTACAGCTATTTGTTGTGCCAGAATACCATTGTTCTACCCACTCTTGGTCCACTGTTCCTTTTACTGCTCCTTTCCTAATAACCTCCTTTAATGGGAACCTTTTATATTCTTAACCTTTTACCTGGCTCATGACTTGATTGCGGTCAATTGTTAAGAAAAGGGGTTGAAATTTTTATTTATTGTTTCCTAGTACTTTTGCGTAGTCCGGTGTTTCTCAGGAAGATTAGCAATATCGAGAATCACGGTTGGTTTTTAACATAATTTCATTTTTAGCGACATTGTTTTTTTCTCACTTAAAAAAAACTGTAAATGATCACAAACTTGCAGAAAACTTGCAAGTCTGGTGCAAAGAATAGTTTTCCCCTGAACCACTGAGAGGTGGCTGCTGACCTTGTTGATGTCCTGTCACCCCAGAATGCTTTAGTGTGCATTTTCTACAAATCAGTATTCTCTTACATAATTACAATACAGTCATCAAAGTCAGGACATTAACACTGATACAGTGCTCCATCCACTTCTCTGAGCTGTTCAAGTTTTGTTTGTTGATTGTGCCATTACTGTTTTTACTGGCAAAAGGGTCCAGTTCAAATTATGTGCTGCGTAAATTTGTCAAGTCTCTTTAGTCTTCTTTAATCTGGGACAATTCCTTCATCTTTTCTTACCTTTAATAACCTTGATACTTTTAAACTTTCCAAGGCATTTATTTTGTAGAATGCCCCTCAATTTAAGAGTACCTGTTCTTTTTTTGATTAGACACATCTAGGTTACGTTCATACTTGGGCAGGAATGTCATGGAAGGGATGCACACTACTGCCTTCCAGGAGGTGCACAAGTTCAGTTTGTCCCATTATTGATGGTTTTCACTTTGACTACTTGACATAAGCAATGCTTGCTGGACTTCAGACATACTGACGTACATACTGACGCTAGAAGGTCAGTATGTACTAGTTAATAGTTTTTGTAAGAATTACTTGGAAACTATGTAAATATCTTGTTCCTCATCAAACTTTTGAAGTATTTCTTTATTCATATCTGTATGGTTCACAGTTTTAGTGGATTATAGTCTGTTACTATTTATTTTGATGTTCAAACTGTCCCTGTTTGTCCAGTGAGAGCCCATCCCAGCTGGTTACTATATCTTCATGACATGTCTCCATCATTCTTTGAATGTGTCTTTACTTTTTGGCACAGGGATATTTTCTGGGCTAATCTTGTATTGTCCTTGCCTTAGTCCTGGAATCAGCCATTTATTTCTCTAAGGAACCCTGGATCCTTTTAGTCAAGAATGACGGAAGCTAACATCTCAGTGTCAGTGTTTTTATCAGTTTTTACTGCCCCCAGGCCTTCTTAATGGATGGAGCTGGGAAGTTTATGTCTGTATACACACTCACATGCGCATTTGTCCTGTGTAATTTGTTTATCTGTATATATTGAAAAGAGTGAGTTCATACCAATAATTCCAATTTCAGTCCAACATTCCAGGGTCCCTTAGTTTTTTTCATTTTTCATATTTGTAATATTCTCTTAAAGTGAAAAATCCAGCCTCTGTTATCCTTACTATGTTTACTTATGTATTCAGTCTTCCTGTGTATTTAACTTATTTCCAGTTTTATGCTCTTATAATGTTACTATCATGTTGAAGAGAACATAGTTTGAAAACCACTGATTTTTATGGCAGTTTAATTTTGATAGTTTGAAATCAGGACTTTGTTTGCCTGATTTTGCATGTGTACTATGGCAAAATAACTAGGAAATACCGTTTTTTTCTTCCTTCTACTTTTACTGAGATTCGCCCAGGAAAAATTACTAATGACCACATGGTTTAATTCCTTTATAAGCCTTTACTATCTCTTTTTTGTTTACTTATGCTGTCCATTAATACATTTAGAATTTAATCCATTTATCTAGCTGATATTTAACTTGGAGTCAAGTATAATGGTTTGAGGTTCTTATATTTTCATTTCAAGTTGCTTAAGTATATTAGAGAAAGCATTTGAAATATTTCTCAGATATTTTATTAGTTTTATTTAAGCTGTTTAAATGAGATAAGCTAAGGGGTAAATTTATGTACAATATCTGAAATATCATAGAAACATTTAAAAAATTGCTAATTGGTTATTACTGAATTGTAATTCATAGTCAGCCTGGGTTTCCACCCCATCCTCCATTCTGTGTGGAAGTAGTTGGGATTTCTTGGTTGCTGTTTTTTTACACACTGTCAAGAACCATTTGGAATTTATTGATTTGACAAGTATTTATTGCTTTCCAGGCATTGTGCTAATAATGCTAGAACAAGAAATAGATGAGTAAAGTGTAAGACTCTATTTCCGATGTAGTCAGTGGAGACAGCCTTGATATACTCATAACTGATGATAAATGAAGAAGATGGACCCAATTTGCTGAGGGAAAAAGAAGACTTCTTATGATAGGTGATATTTAAGCCAAGTTCTGTAGCATGAGTAAGCATTTGCTCATGGAAAGGAGGGTAGAGTAGATTACGGGCAGAGAGAAAAAGGTGTAAGTTTGTGAACATCTTGTTCCAGGGATGGAGAGAGGTGTACTGTGGACGAAAAGTGAGGTAAGTTTTGATACTGGAGCAGGTTGGGGTAAGGTTGTGAAAAGGTCTGTATATCAGACTGTCGAATTTAGCCGTGACTCTGTAGATAGTGAAGTTTGTTGAAAAGTAGGGATTCTTGAAAAGCAATGGACTGGAGGGAGAAAGACCAATGTGAGAAAACTCAGGAGCTTTTACAGTGGAAATGGAAAGGAAAGTATGGATTCTAGAGTAATTGGGAAACTCAGTTTGTCAAAGTTTAGGAATGAATGGATGTGAGGGGTCAGAGAGAAGGAATAATTGAGGATAACAAAGTTTCTAGCCTGGGTAGTTGGGTAGGTGATGATACTGTGAACACAAACAGGGAATTCAAGAGAAGAAATGAATTTGGATGAGGGAAAGGGATGCTGAGCTTCATTTTGGGTATGTTGAATTAAAGGTGCCTGTCTGTACCCAAAGTAGAGATGCCATTTTGTTGTTTAGATGTCTGGGTCATGGGGTGAGGAAAGAAGTGACGATTACGAATTTAACTGGCAATTACCAGTAGTCAGCTGTTTTTCAGGTATAAAGAAAAAAATGAGAATGTTCAAGAAATATGCATAGGGTGAAAAGAGGAGTGCTGTAAAAATTGAGCCCAGAGAAAATTCAATATTTAAGAGGTAGATAGAGCAGTAGCAGCCAGGAAACAGAACAGGAGTGGACAGTGGTGATGCAAGAGAATCAAGATTGTGTGGTACCGTGGAAACTCCAGGCGTAGAGAATTTTGAGAAGGCGGAAATGATGAATAAATGTCAGAACCTCTGAAGATGTCACCCTGAGTGGTGTGGCTCAAGTGGTTGGGCATCATCCCACAAAGTGAAAGGTTGCTGGTTTGATTCCCAGTCAGGGCACAAGTGTGGATTGCAGCTTCTGCCCCCATTTGTGGTGCAAAGAAGAGGGAACTGGTTGATGTTTCTCTCTCTTTCTTCCTCCCTCTTAAAATAAATAAACAAACAAACATAAAAATTTTAAAAGCTACAGGAAAGAAGTTCCGAAGATGTCATGTATAATGATGACTAAAATCAGTATCACAGTCCATTTGGACTGCAGTAACAAATGACCACAGACTGAGTGGCTTAAACAAAAGACATTTATTTCTCGAAATTCTGGAGTCTGGGAAGTCCTAGACCAAGGCATAGGCAGACTCAGGGTCTTGTGAGAGCTCATTTCCTGACTCATAGATGGCCCTCTTTTTACCACGTTGTCACATGGTGGAAGGTCAGAGGAGTTCTGTGGGCTTTCTGTCAGAAGGGCACTGATCCTGTTCACGAGGGCTCTGTCATCATGACCCTAATTACCTCCAAATACATCATTTGGGTCCCACCTCCAGATGCCATCACGTGGGGGTTAGGATTCAACATATGAATTTTGGGGGGACACAAATATTCAGTCTATAGCAGATAGGTTCATGGACTTGATAA